AATTAGCTTATTTGAGGGACACTCTTATAGGGCCAACTCCATATTCTATTTCACTAATCCAAACCATCTATTTTGTAGATATTTATTCAAAGATCATTTTTACAAAAAGTCACTCAATCCGATATCATTTGACCACTCAATTGAATTATTGAAATTTAAGTACTTTCTTGAAGCACTGTGTTCATTGATTTTATATGACACAATTGGATATTGAAATGGTTTTCGATTTGTCTAATTCTTTGCAAGGATGATCTATGAATGTAGATTTAAAAAATAGATGATTTGAATTGTTGAAATTTTTTTTGTATAGAACCCTAAAGAGCGTCCCTCAATAGAAGGGTTAAAAACAACGGTTAAAAACAAAAGTTCGCAATGAGTTCGCATCTTAGAGTTCGCATTGGAGAAGGCCCCTATATATATATATAAAGGCGGATGTAGAGCCGGGGTAGCCGAAATAGGCCCCTTTTGATAGTGGGCCACCATGATTGATGCTTCTTTAGTGCATAGAAGAAGAAGATTTCTTACTTACTAAAGCCACGTTTGACCAAGGTTAGTATTATTGAATAAAGACGTGAATGAACTTACAGATGAGAGATACAAAACATATAAATATTATAGGGTTATTGCATGCTTGTTTTTTATAATGAAATGACCGGGTATCCTCTAGAAAGTGATACGGTTTATAGGAAAAATTGGAATGATAGCGCTTTCTGTAGCTGTAGAGTTATAAATAGAAAAAGTTCAAGATTTCTTCAACTATTCTCCCACTAGATTTTGTAAACTTCACCTACTCTTATAAGAGAGGGCTGATGATTATTTGTGGATCATAATAATTCAAATCAAAATTAGATTCGTTAAAACTTAAAACTGACTTAGTTTCGATCCAAAACCATTCGTGGGAGTTAGGTAAACTTACACCCACAAGAGGCAAAGTTTGAGGGAATCACTTATCTGTTCTTAATACCAGTTTGAAGGTCAGTTACATAAGACCAAGATGATACTGGAAATCATCAATATATAAATAGCGACAAGAAATCAGATGCGCACACAACTAAGAATTACAAAACACGAATGAGCAGAAATTCCACTCCTACCTTATTAGTACAATTGTACTGCTCAAATGGTTGCATTTCTGTTTTACAATTATTCTTTCTTTGTTGTTTATCCTTTACCACCCAGCACTGCATATATCCAAAAAGCATATGAAACTTTTCCCTTGGCTGAAAGCCCGCGATGCCCCCACGATTCAGCTGCGTTGATAATCAGCAGCAGAACCCGTCTGAGAGGAAATCCACATATTTGACTCGTGGCCAACAACAACGTTGGAAAAATGGTTTCATTAGGATTAGTAGCTACCAAATACTTGGTTGTCTGCATTGCTTCCGTCCAAATACTATATTTGGTGGGCTTCCTTCTGTTTTGAATCCTCCTCACTTGAATCACGTATTATAGTGGTACTTTGTTCTTGATCGCGTACCTGTCTACTTTCCCGAAGCTTCCCAGAAGTCGCAATCGCAAGAATCAGCTCAAGTTGTTTTTGCTGCTGCTCCTGCACATGACAACAGGTGCAACATATTCTAATCAAAATTATGACACCAGAAATGGATCTCAAGTTAACAATAATTTGCGAAAATCGAGATGACATAAAGATTTGAAAAGCAAATAGAGAACAATCACAAGCAGATAGAGAGATCAAATATTCTGAAAGTCCGTTCATCTTGGCATTGTAGCTCATAGAAAGGATAATAACCAAACTAATTAAGAAAAATTCACAAGAATACAGTCACAAACGGATATAGATATAAAATATTATGGGAATCCATTAGCCTTGGCACCATAGCTTGTATACGGGATAATGACTACATTAATCAACAAAATGGGAGAACTCCATAGAAGGCAATATTATTCTCAAAAAGAAACAATTAATTCTCAAATTTACATACTGAGAAACCTAGCAATTCTTCATTCTGTTTAGCTGTCACCTGGGAGTGAGAACCCTTACCTGCATAGCCAACAAAACCTTTTGAATTTCTCCAAGCTCCTTTTCCAGATTGTCTTCTTGCACTGCTAATGCTCGAGTGGCCTCAGAATTTTTTTGAGCCAAAGCTGCAGTCTTCAGAAACAAACAACTAGTTAGACGTTGTACCAGATAATCACCTTGCAATATCAGCCAATATAAGTTTATTTTATTGATACTTTAAGCCCAAAACATTACAGTCTTTCTGCATTCAACATAGTAAATTAACCCATTTCTTCAGGGTCAGAAGTAAAAATCCTAGGGTCCTAACCATTTCAACCTGTCATAGTGTAAGAGCATCCACAATCATGCTCTCTATTTTTTAATTAAAATTTAGCTAAAAACACTAGAAAGCTATTTTAGGAGCAAATAAAATGTAGACACAAAAGCAACAATAAAAAATAGTTTGCTTTAAATAAATGCTTAAAATAATATTAAATAAAGAAGCATTTAATTATAGGGAGTCACTAGGAGTCCTTTCTCTCTCCTCAGATTTAGGAGCTCCTAGAGGTCTCCCTATTTTAGGAGCCGAATAGGGAGCATGGTTGGAGGTGGGTTTTTTCAATTCCTCCCTAAATTTTAGCTAAAGAGGTGGTTTAGGGAGCCTATTGTGGATGCTCTAAGAGCATTGAGATTCTTTTCACTGACTTTACCCACATTGCTTAACATGCACACCATCACCCACACTAAATTGCATCTGCCAGTAGGTGATGTCCTCTTTAAACATATCTTAATCATCTGCAAGGGTCTGCTATTAGACAACTTATTTAAGGAGCTACTGGAGATTCTACAATACCAATTTCCAAGATCACTGGGTTCTCACACTCTGAGTGACTCTTTGTTTGCATGGATATGAACATTGACATTTCACAATGATTAGTGATCGTGTCGGGAAAGAAGAAAATGCATCTTTCCTTTTTCGGCTGCAGAGAAAGCACGGTTGATAGCCTGAAATGGGCTTTGGTCACCAGGCAAAGATAATGATGATAATGATGATTACTAAGTAGGTTACCTTTGAGGTACTACTCACCACAGAACCAGACTCTGAATAGATGGTATTCACTAACTGGAACCAAAAAGCAGATTAGCCTATAAAATGAAAACCACCCGAAGGCAATTCTCTGCCAGTACTGCTCTTTTATCACACTTTCTGCTCATTTCCATTCAAATCCTGTTCAAGTACCCTTAATTGAATGCACATGTCAAGCATCCATTAGACCTCTTCAATTATTCTTTATGGAGCATTGAAAAGGATCCCAGCATATTCAACATTTGAGCCAGCCAATCAATTATTCTTTAGGGAGCATTGAAAAGGATCCCAGCATATTCAACATTTGAGCCAGCCAATCAACCATGACTGAGAGATATACCAAATGCCATATGTTCAAATAGATATTTAGCTGCTTGCTGTTTTTATTTCTTTGGTGGACCGTTAGGAGAGGGAATTTGAACGCAGGAGCTCTTTTTAGTATAGAGGTGCTTCATGAGATAGTTTGAAATGTTTACAAGTTAGCACATGATTTTCTCCCCTTCTTCAACACTCTATTCTCGATTTCACCCTCTTATATCATTCAGCATTAGGTTTTACTCAATCTCTATTTCCATCTGGAAAAGTATCATATTAAGAGGGAACTAGAATTTAAAAGCTTTAAACTGCACCAAGAAATAAATTATATATAGTGTGATTGAAATCATAGCCATGCATATGGCCAATATTATCACTTAATGTATACTTATTGCAACATGGCAATACTGGACTGATGCAAGTTAGAATTAAAGACTGCACACTTATCTTTAGCATATTACTGATGGCACTCAAGGCTCTAGCCTAAGCAAACAGGTGGATGATGAGTTACCACAAGCGACTTTAAAATTTTAACTTAACTCTTAACCACTTAATCAATTAACATGTTGAAAATTGTTGGACTAAATAAATCCAACTATGCATGGTTATGCAAAAGACAGAATTTGAATACCAGTCAAACAATCAATCCAACTAAGTTACACTAGCACAAGGTTGTAACTATGTAGTTCCATGTGCAAATGCTTCTCGTTTTTCCTATTCAGTATCCCATTTCAAATGATGAACTAATATTCTTCTGAAAATGTTTAAGCAGCTCCATTGCTGACCGGTGTATCGAACATTTTTGGATGGGGAAATTAATCCAAATTCGGAATAGATAGATGAGATATCCCAAAATTAAAAAACACAGCATGAAATTTCCACAAACTAGCAAAACAATGAATTGAGTTATTCAGAAACCACCAACAAACCATCAATCAAATAGTCACCACCCTAATCGTATGATGTGTGATACACACTGTCATATGATATATCCTTTCAGAGGTCACGCTGCCAGTGGAACTTAAAAAGGAATGGATGTCCTCCAACGATAAACTATTAGGGGTGGCAGTTCAGTTATGCTAGTCAAATGAAACTTATTATGTTTAATTAATCATGTAAAATCACTTGACACTAACCCAATCTGTATATTAATTGTGTCATGTTTGTGTTAATACACATATCTATTGAACTAGAAACTCAAAATATAACCTCTAATTTTAAACCAAACTCATCACTTGTACACAGCCATAAATAAAAACCTACTCAATCTAGATGCTAACAAAGGAAGGACAAAAGAAGTATAACTGTATAATTCTACAATTATTTCAAAAATACAAGATAATGAAGTGAAGAAAAGGGTGAAATGCATTTTCTACATAAGACTAGTTAAACACAGTTATCGCGTCAAAATCAGGCTATTCATACTTAGCTGGCATCATTATTGTCTTCGTATTGAGCAATAGTCAATCCTAACCCACTGATTTCGTGTTGGATTCACATCGTGTTGTGCTCAAACACTATTTTCAATTTCTAAAAGAATTTAATTTTATTCCAATACTGCATTTCCGTGGCCTAATGTTCTTGACTTTCCAATTAAA